TTTAGTTATTATTATTATTATATATATATATATATATATATATATATATATATATTCTAAATTTAATTATATATATTTATTTTCTAATTTTTTAGTTAAAATATAAAGTAATTGATTAAATTAATTTATAAAAAGGAATATTTTATATTTTTTTGATTTTTTAAAATAAAATAAAATAAAATAAAAATATTTAATTTTAATAAGATATATATTTATTTATTTTAATATTATTAAAATATAATAAAAAAATAAGTAAAAAATAAAATAAAGGAGATGATGTTTTTAATTTATAAGAAAAATATAAATTAAATATTAAAAAGTTATAACAACAAAAATGTTTATTTTTTTAAAAGATAAAACCAAAAAATAAGAAATATTAATTCATTAAAATATGAAATTGAAAATAACCCTGAATTTGATAAAGCATTCCCATAATTCGCAAAAAACAAACCTTAAACAACATTACATAAAAAATAAGAAGAATTAGATTTTATTAAATCACTAGGATTAAAGTAGAGAATTAATTAAAAATATCACTTGAAGATGCATAACATTTAAATGTATTTATTTTTATTAAATAGACTTTTTTTAATATAAATATATATATATATATATTTATATATATATATATATATATATATATATATTTTCACAATTAAAAAGTATAAATAATTTGTTGAAGGTTATAAATCACCTTAAGGTCCTTTAAGATATATGGATGCTGAAGAAAAAAAGAAGGTTTTTTTAATATATATTATTAATTTATTATGAATAAAAATAAATAATATTCAATACATTTATATTAATAAAAAAGATTAACATATTAATTGATGAAAAATTAGACTAATTAGAAGCTACTGGACTTTCTAGAGAAGAAATACTTTATGATAACCCATAAGTATATAATATTTTAATAATTTGTAAAATAATTTAAATATAAAGCATATTGGAATACCTCTTTCTTAAGATCCTTTCTTTTAATATTTGAAAAAAAATTATTTATCAAGAGAAGTTTTTTTAAAACCAGGAGAATAATATACAGTTTAAAAAATTGTAGATCTAGCCTTAAGATAAGATGTTGGCCCTGATCCTTCAATTGCAGCTGGAAAATAAAAAGACGCAAAGTTTTATCCTGCTTAGCAAATTGGATAAGCTCATTAAAGAGCTCCTGAAAAAGCTTTCGACCCTGATACTTATGCAGCAGAATCTTCGTCTTAAGCTAAACATTATTTTAGAGAATTAGTTAGTAAATTATTAAATCTATTTATTTACTTTTTTTTAAAAAAGAAAAATAATATATATTAATAAAAAAGGACCTGATAGAAAAATTTATGAAAAGCCATTAACTAAAGCATAACTTAGAAAATAAAATATTAGAAGGTTGAATTATTTCGATATTCATTGGAGAAATACAGAACTTTTATCATAATTCTTGAACACTTCATGTTTTATTAGAAACAAATATTAAAATAGATTAACAAAACCTTAATAAAAGAAAGTAGCAAAATAAATAAAAATAAGCTAATAAATGTGTAATTTATTATATATATATATACATATTTAATATTTATTAATTTTTTCTTTCTTTTAAGTACTTTTACCTTTTAGAGGATATATTAAACCTTCAGATAGAAAAAGTTTAACTACTTTACATGAAGATATTATGAATTCTATAAGAACTGCTATTAATATAGAAACTGGTCATATATATATTAAAGGATAAGTAAAATTACTTCTTATTTTTTTTTATTAAATTATTTAAAAAATAATTTTCTTAATAAAAATAGAATGATTAAGAATTTAATACTGAAAAAGAATTTAATAAATTAAATGAAGATTTTGAGTTTTTTAATATATTCTTTATATTTTCTTTTTATAATTTTTTTAATAAGTAATTAGAGAGATTAAATTACGAAAGATTACTAAGTTTAAGGAAGAGGTTCTTATCTTTCTAATAAAGATGAATAAACTTTACTTGAAGCTAGAGTAAGTGCTGCACTTAAAAAAGAATAATAATTAATTGATTTAGGAATTGATACAAAAATTATTAGAGAAAAATACAGAGACCCTTTGAATAAATCTAACTTTTCTCCTGAGAATGCTGCAGAATTAGAATTAAAAGATTATATTTATCCTCCAGAATATGATACAATTAATAATTAGGATTAATAATAATTAAAAGATTCTTATGAAAGGCTCAAATAGAAAATATTAGATTAACCTGTTGATTAATTCAGTACTTTATTAGTTCATGAAAAAGCTACAAATACGGAGGCCGTATTAAATTTTATTTTATTTTATTTTTATTTTATTTTTAGTTTGAAAAATAAACATAAGAAAGTGAATTATCATTAAATGAAAGCTTGGAATTTATTAATGATATTAGAAGTAAAGCTGGGTTAACTCCACTTTCTATTTGAAAATATATTCATTTTCGTTTTTGATATTTTATAATTTATTTTATTATTTCATTTTTATTTAAATGATATTTTTAAAAATAAATATTATAATTTTATTTTTAATTAGATCTGATATTAAAATAATTTTTATTTAAAATAAAAATTTAATTAATATAAATATTTAAGTATTAAAATTGATAAATAATATTAATAAAACAAACAAAAATTTCAAATAATTTTTCTTTTAAAAAAAAAGCTTAATTTTTATTTATATCTGTAAGAATATTTTAATTAATTACTTTTCTATAATTCTTTTATATTTAATTAAAACTATATTTTTATTAAAAAAATTATACTTGTAAAAACACCTATATAAATTAAATATAATTGTGTTTCTTAAATTTTATTATATTTTTAAAATTCAAATTAATAAAAATTATAAATATTTCAGTAATATATATGTATGTGATATAATTTTAATATTAATTAATGGGCAAAATTTTATTATTTTTTAAATTATTCATTTTTCATATTAAATGTAATTAATTTTTTTTTTTTTTTTTTTTGAATAAAAATATTATATATTAAATTAGTTATAAATTAACTTTATAGGTGTTTTTTTTTTATATCTACTCATAAGACTAAGAATTTGAAGTTATAACATTGTTTATATATATAAATTTTTAGAATTAATGCATATTATAAAATATTTATGTTTTATTAATAAAATATTTTTAGTATTTTTTTTATTTTTTGAAAAAAATGAATAATTAATAATTTCTATAAAATAATAAACATGGCTAAAATAACAAATAAAATAAACTTTTATAACAATATGTAAACTAAAGTAAAAGTAATGTGAAATCGAAAAACAAATGGTTTAGCCAATATTAGATGATGTATTCAAATTAAAAAGACAAAAATATTTTAATCTCAATATTAATAAAAAAATAGAAATAGAGTATATTTCAGAAATATATAAATATAAAACACAAAATTATACGAAATTTGAAAATTAAAATAATTTTATTTATTTACAAAATTATTATGAGACTTTATTTAAAATAAGATGAGATATATATTTAAAGATTGTTTATTTTATAAAATTATATAATAATATTAGATAATTTATTAATAACTTAACTTCTTGTATATATATAATAAATTAATTAATATTTTTATTTAAAAAGATTTAAAAAAATAATATATATTTTTATTTATATTCTTTATATAAAAAAAATTAATAATTTTTTAAATATATAAATATAAAGGATATTAAATAAATATTTTTAAATAAAAAGCATATTATTAATTTATAATAACTTGTATTTTTATATTTTTTTATTGTATATTTATTTAAATTAATTACATTAATAAATATATATTTTTTAAAATAAAAAAGTTAAATTCTCTCTCTCACTCTATATATATATATATATATATTTTTTCTGAAATATAACTAAACATATAAAATATTTTCAACATCTAATAAAAAATAGCAAATAATTAATATATTTTTAAAAATAATATTAAAATTATATATACATATATATATATTTTTTTTTTATTATTATTTGATAAAAAATGTATCGTTCTTTATCAAAGTAATAAATACTAATATATTAAACCATTAAAATTAAACAGGATTTTAGATTAGGAATCATATTTTGTTGAAAATGATTTAAATTTAATTTAAATTAAGTATAATTCTTGCATATTAGATGCTTTAAATGCATTTTAAAATGCAGATTTTGAAAAATCCATAGAATTATTTAATAATGCATTATAATTAATAGATAGCCTTTAAAATGAATATAAGAAAACTATTTTATATATAAATTTAGGAGTTTTACATCTTTATATTTGCTAATTTAAAAACTCCTTAAACTATTTAAACTAAGGACTATAAACACTTTAATAAATATAAATATAATCAAGTTTCAATAAACCTTTATATATTAAAATATTTTCTAATTTAACAATTGTATATGTGACTTTATGTTAATATGAATAAGCTAATCTTGCTAATTAAAATAGTTTAAATATTATTTTAATGAGGTTTAGTTATTTATAATATTTTATTTTAAAAAAATATTTATATTTATGTAGTTAAGAATAAGAAAAAATCGATTTACTTGACTAATTGATTTATTTTTATTTTAAATCATTTAATATTGATCATTTAATTAATCCAAATGATTATAAAGATTGTAAAAGTAATATTTTATAATTAATATAGTTATTAATTTACTAAAAAAGATGATTTAAATATACAAGCATTTAAATATTCTAATGAGGCTTTTTAAAAACAATTAAATAATGATTTAGATTCTGCATATAATTATTATTAAAATGCTCTTTTTGAATTCGAATAGGCTAATAATTCTATTTTTAGTTTAATAATTTTAAAAATTTTGATTATATTAGGACAATAAGATTAAAATAAATAACATAATATAAACTTATACTAAGAAAAAATGAAAACAATTATTTAAAATGAATAGTAATATTTTAAAGATATGAATATAGATATTATATTTAAGGAATATAATTTAAAATTGAATTGTATTAAAAAAGTAAAATATTTTTTGTTTAAAAAATAAAAATAATAATTTAAAAAGATTTTTAATAATTTAATTAATATAAGAAATCGAATTATAAATTAACTTACAGTTTTTAATTGCGAATTCCGTTTTACTATTTCACAAACAATATTCGAACCTAATAGTAATTTATTATGGAAATAAGGTATAATTTATTTAATTATTAGTATTTAAAATATTAAAAAAAATTCTGATTTATTAAAATAAGCATTAAAATTAAGATTAATAGGCGGAATTCGTAATATGAAACAATTATTATATAATAATAAAATTGATATAATATAAAAAGAAAATCTAATGAAAGTATACATATTACTTATTTTAATGATTAATATAATAATATATATATATATATATAATATATATATATATATATATATATATATATATATATATATATAATATCTCAATATTAATATTTTTATTATTTTAAATATAACACATGTAATTTAAAATATAGAGTTTAGAATAATTGCATAAAACATTAGATATATTATAAAATCAAAATAATATATTATTTTAAAAATAATTAATTTAATTACCTTTTACAGAATAATCAATAAAAATTTTATAGAATTCTATAAATGTGATAAAAAATATGATTATAAAAATTATTTTAAGTGATGCATTTAATAAAATTTAAAATTAAACATCAAAAACTAATTAGATTTCTATTAATTAAAATAGCTATTAAACTAGATTAGATTTAATATTATAAAAAGTATACATTTTTATTTAAAATTAAAGATAACATTTTTATATCAAAAAAGGCTTATTAATATGCTTGTGTAGGAGATTATTTAATTAAATGCAATAAATCAACAAATGGGAGATTATAAAAATTCTTTTAATTAAAATAAGAATCATCTTTAACTTGGGCTTCAAAATAACAAGATATAAATGATAGACTAAAAATATAATATTTCGAACTTCAAGAAGCTAAAGGAATAGTTTATGGAAAAGTCACAGATGTATTAAGAAAGTCATTTAATTAAACACTAGAACCTTGGCTTTGTTTTTCTATTATTTTAAATTAAAGGACTCTTGATTTTTATTGTTAACCAGATTAAATTATTTATTGGATTACTGCTTTAAGTTATGCTATTAAAAGAATTAATCCAAGTTCTTATGTATTAAGCCTTAGCTAGATTTTATGGAGGAAACTCAAAATTATACTCTATTATCATTTTTATGATAATAATTTTAAATTGAATAAAAAATTTGCTCATTCATTTGTTAAGGCAATTATTTTATTTGGAAGAAATAACTTGAAATTACCTTATAAAAAAAATAAAATTAAATGAATTATATATGAAAAAAAATTTGTAAAAAAATAAAAAAAAATCATATTTTTTATATATATATATATTTATTCATAATTCACAAAATTTATCTAATAAATTAATCATTCAAAAAAAAATGCTTTCTTCGTCTTTTTTAAGATTTAATTTTTCGTAATTTTATCTTTCTTATTTTATTCTTCTTATTTCATTATATCTTTTACTTAAATATTCAATATTATTTATTAAACTATTTCCTTAACAATTATTTTTCATAATATTTTTCTTTTTATCAAAAATAAATATATATATAATATAAATATAATAATAAATTTAACATCATTTTCATTTATAAAACATAATTTATCTTTATTTAAAAATAATAATTAAGCCGTATCACTAGTGACTTTAATCCTTCCGAAATCTGTAATTGATTTAACATTAAAAATCAAGCTTTCTCCAAAAAAATCACCTTACATAAGTTAATAAGACCAATTTTTATCATTCTCAACTTCAATTTATCCATTAATTATAATATAAAATCCTTATACACGTTTATTTGACCACATTAATTATTTTATTCTAGATTTATGTTTTTATAACATTTTTTGTAGTTTAGAATTTTTAATTATATTATTAGTAGTTTGCTCAAAAATATAAGAAAAGTGTTTTAATAATTTTTTTTTCTATTTGATTTCTTGAATTCAATATAATTGATTTTCATGTTTTTTAAATAAGAACAATCATTAAAAATAACATCATTTTTATAAAAAGTTTCAATCTAATATTTTTTTTTATTTTCTTATATATACGAGAGAAAAAAAAGAAAAAAAAATCTTTTTTACTTAAATAAATTCTTAACTTAATTTTAATAAAGTCAAATCAGAAATATTTTAAAAAATTAAATTATTTTTTATAAAACTTAAGATTTTTTCCCCTTATAATGAAAACTAAGCTTTCCAAAAATCATTAAAATAAACTTTTTTTATTTTATAATATTCTATACATGTTTATGTTATAAACCATATATTTGGATTTTTGCTTACATTTTTTTCTAAATCATCACATCCTATTATATCTCCTTCTACATAACAACCCACTATATTTGGTTTTTCGAAATTATTTGTATGATCAAATACATATGTAGTTCCACATAATATAATAAAGACTTCATCATCTTAAGGAAATAATAATTTTTCTGATTCTAAATATTAATATGTTAAATAAGGAATACTTTTTTTCTATAAATGTGTTTTTTAATAACTTATAATTTTTAATTATAAAAAATATATTACAATAACTGGATAAGTAAATCTTTTAAAAAAAGACATTTTTTATAATAAACATATAATTTATTCTACTTAATCTTAACTATAAGTATAAAAATTATTTATTATATCAAAATCATTATAAAAAGTTTAAAATTTTGGTTTAAAATCACTTGCTTAGGAAATTTAAGTTACAATAGAATAAAATTCACATTAAGTTCTAGAAGATAAAAAAACATCAAAATCTTCATATTTGTTAATTTTATTTTTATATTTAAAAGCAAATAAAATCATTAAATGTAATAATATAATATAATTTTACGGATTCATTTTCTTATATATAATTTTATAATTTTTTTCTGCTTCTTTTAAATTATTTAATGTTTTTAAACATACTGATTTTATATAAATATATTTATTTTATTGTATTTAGTTATTTAGTAATATTTGGTTAATTGTTTTTAATGATTCTTCGAATTAATTTAATTTATATTAACATAATGCTAATCCAAATAATGTTTATTCGTTATTAAGTTAAAATTCTAATGATCTTTTTTATTAATTTTGGTTTTTTAATATATTATTTATATAAATTAGATATTTTTTACAACTAAAACCAATTTATTGCATTTTGAAATTTTTAACTTTTTTCATATAAACAAGCAATATTAAATACTGAATTATAATGCATTTTGTCTATAATTAAAACTTACTTTAAGCATTATGTCGCGATATCAATTTAATCATTTTATATTAGTTTCTAACTCTTCGAAAACCAAAACTCGGCATTATTCATTTTTTTTAACTTAAAGAAAAAATATAAAATATTTAAAAATAAAATAATTTTACTGGTTTTTTTTCCGATTCTTTGAGTTCATCTAAATGCATATTTAACGGAGGAAATTTATATAGCCTTTTTGTAAGATTTTCCTCACTTCCTTTATCTATAAGATTTTTAACTTTATTTTAGAGATATTTCATTTAACTTATTTCAAATTAACAAGTATTAGATAGTTTAAATTGATTTTATTATTAATTTGAATTTTAAGGTGTGTTTGTTTATTCTTTTTATTATAAAAAATTATAAGGTAGACTATTTTGCTCATCTTGTTGTTTTTTCTTATAGAAATTATATTGTGTAAGTTAATAATTTTCACTTTTAGACTTTTTTTTAGCATTTTCAGATTTTTTAATTTGAAATGATTAATTATTTTTTGTTTTAATACTTTACTATATTTAATTTGAATTAAGAGTTATATTATTAGTTTTTTAAAATGAAAAATTAATAGACTTATTTGTTTACTTAAATATATTATTCTTTTTTTATGAAATGAAAAAGGATTTATTTATTTACTGAAATTATTTAAATTCAATTTAATTTTATTACTTTTTTTAATTTTCTCTATTTAATATTATATTTTTTTAATTTAAAAATTTTTATGGCCCATATAATTAAGGTTTATGTTCATTTTTAGTTTTAATTAGTGAGTTATTTTATAATTATTCTAATTATATATCTGGATTTTGAAAATATTCAATTAATTTGTTAGCTTCTTAATTTAAATCATTTCTTTATTTCTTTTTTTAGTTTAATTAATATTATAAAGTTTTTAAAGCAAAAGATTCAATTTTATATAATTATTTTTTTTATTCTTAATTATTTATTAATTACTATTTTTATAATAACATATCTTTTATATTAAGAAAATTACGTTTAGTTCTTATAAATCTTTTTCTATAAATGAAGTTTCGGTATTTTTTTATTAATTATTTTATCTTAAAAAATTACTTGCATTATAAGTAAATATTTTTTATCGAAGTTTTTATGTTTATTATCCCTAAAAATCAATATTAGGAGTATTTTATTCATAATTTTTATTTATTTAATTCATATTAATTTAATTATTTATATTTTATTTTTTATTATTTGAATTTTCTAATTTTTTTTTTATATATTTTATTCATTTAAAAATTCCTCTCTTATAATGATAGATGTCCTATTTAATAATCTTTTAAAAAATATATAAATAGTAATTTTTTTAATTTAAATATATACTTCGGTTATAAATATTTGCAATCTACTATTTTAATTCGATTTTATCTTTGACTCAATTATCTTTTTATTGTTTTTTATAGTTTTTTTTATAAATATTTTTTATTAAGATTCTCTCTATTAAAATAATTAATATTTAAATCTAATTTAATCTTTTTTATTTTTCTTTAATTACAAATTTTTTCTTTCTTAAAATTCTTCTTCATTATCTAGTTTTTCCTTTAAGATTTTAATAAATTTATCATTTTCTTTAGTTTAATTTTTTTAAGTAAAAACATTTAATTTTGTCACACTGTTTTTAGTATTTTTAATAGATTTTGACTAAAATATTAATACTAATAAATAAATTATAATAATCATAATATTTATATTTTTACTGGTAAATAATATTTTTTTTTAGAATCTTTTATATCATTAATTGTTTTATTTATACTTTATCTAATCCAGTCATCTAAAGCTTCTTCTGTAATATCAGATTTTCTAATTTGCGATTCTTATGCTAAATATGGATTATATTTATCTACAGGATGTGCCTTTATTTTAAAAAATAATATATTTATTTTTTTTCTTTTTCTTTTATAAATGTGTTTTAATAACTATAAAATTATCATTTTCATTATTCGGAACAAAATGATTATTAACTTTGCTTTAATATTATTTATTGAAATAGCTGTCTTATAATTCATACATATGTTATGAAAATTATTTATTTTAACAAATTTAATACAAACAATTTTTTTTTCCAATTACATTATCAATTTAATTTAAGTTTGATTTCATTTTATATAAAGTTAAAAATAAAATTATTTATTTTTTAACAACCAAAAATTTAAAGCAATAATATTTTATATTTATTACAATTTTTTTTGAGATATAAATTATATATATATGACAAATTATTATAAATATTAAAATTTTATTTTTTTATATAAATTAATTTGTTTTTTAAATAATACTAAAAAAAATGGGAAATGATGGCGGAAGTTTTCAAAGTATTTTTTTTTCTTTTTTAATTAATATATATAAAAACATTAAATAATAGCAAGAACTGATCTAGTTAAAGAAAAGCCTAGAGAAGTCAAGATTGATAATATAGTATAGGCGAGATTTAGGTAAATAATAATTACTTTTTTTTATAAATTTTATATTTAAATATTAAAATTAAAAAAGAGCTAAATTATGTACTTTGAGTAAATAAAGGTTAAAAAAGCCCATAGTTATGTGCAGAATAGGAAATTTATATAATTTTGAAACAGTATTAAAATTTTTAATGGAAAAGAAAATTCCTTAATAATTATCACATATTAGAAAAATAAAAGATGTAAAAGAAGTAAATTTACAAGAAAATATAGATAAAAATTCTGAATATAAATTTTTTTGTCCTTTAACTTAAATTGATTTTAATGGAATGAATAAATTTGTAGGATTATGGAGTTGTGGGTGTGTTTTTAGTGAAAAATTACTGGAAATGGAAACATTAAAAAATTAAAATAAGTTATGTCCTATATGCCCTGTTTGTTCAAAACCTTACAAAGTAGATGAACTTATAAAATTAATATCAAGCGAAGAAGATAAATAAGAGAAAAAATTAAAAATATTAAAAAAGTAATAACAAAGGGACACCAAGGTATTTTTATTGATTTATTTATTTTAAAATATTAAAAATGCTTAAAATACAATTAGCATAAATAATAGATTCAAGATGCTTAAGAAGTCAAAGAAGTAATTTAAAAATAAATAAAAACAGATAAAGATTAAGATGATATTTAATAATAATAATAATAATTTTATTAACCATTAGCTCTAACCTAACCAGAAACTAAAGATACTGATGGTATTATATATAAAAAATATAAATAAATATATTTAATATTTAAAATATTTAAAAAAAAAAAAAAAAGTATACAAAAGTTTATTCCATAACGACAAAGATATAAAAAAAGAAGAAAACTTGTTCATAAAAAATGTAAGATTCGGAATAAGATGAAAAAAAAAAGTTTTTTAAAAAGATATAATTAATTATTTAAAACTTATAAAATAATAATAAATAATCTCTTATAAAAAAAATGTGTATTTTTTTGTTTTTAATATAAAAAATGAAATATTATGAATTAATTTTTATTTTAAATAAAAGCATTTATTATTTAATTAAAATTCATACATTACTTATAGATTATTATTTTTTTTTTTCTCTTTTCTAAAAATAAAATAAAATTATTTTATTATAAAACTATTATCTAAATTTTTTTAAGCTTTTTTTATATATTTATATATATGTCTATTTAAAATAAAAGTTTTAATATATTCTATATATTTTAAAAAAAATTAATTATAAATATATATATAAATATATATTTATATATATTTATATATATTTAAATATTTTTATTTCTATTTTTATATTCATTTTTTCTTTTCTTAATAATCTTTTCAAATAAACATTCTAAAAAAAAAATTATTTACATAAAAATAAATTTTTAATAAAAAAAATAAAGAAATATTATTGACAAACAACTAAAGTTAAAAAAAACAAAATTAATATAAAATAAAGCCAAAAATAAAATAAAATATTATAAATTCTAAAAGAAGAAAAAACAAAAATTGCATATAAATAAATGTTTGTTCAAATATCATCAATATCTTTATCTGTAATGTCTTTCTTTTATGCATCTTCTTCTTCTTCTGAAGAGCTGCTTACAGCTACTACTTATTTTTTTACTTTAGTTTGGACAGGTTTTTCGTCTTAATCTTCTTCACTATCTTAATCATCTGAGTCTTCAAAAACAACTTCTCCATTATCACCTCCTTTTTCATTTACTTTAATATTTTCGGGAATTTCACCATATTATTTTAATGCACGGATTTCATCGGGTAAATATTTCAATATAATATCGCATTTTTCATCTTAAAAATCTCTTAGACCTGCCAAAACAATATCGTCCATTTAAATCCAGACTTTTTTTTTCATTCTTCCACATATATGACCTATTCTTTTTTTTCCGTCAAAACAATATAATTCTAAACGACCATTTCCTAAAATTTTGGTTACTTAAGCGTATTCCATATCTTCTTCTTTGAATACTAATTCTCTTTTTGTTTCACTCTCATTTTTACCTCTTCTGTAATTTTTGCCACCTCTACTTTTATTTTTAGGCATTTTTTTTTTTTTTTTTAATTATTTTTAAAATTTAATTTTATTATTTTATATAAATTTATATCATCCTTTTTTAATATATTAATAATTTTAATTTTTATATAAATAATTCTCAGAAGTATAAAGAATAGTAATTTATAAATTTAAACGTTTTTATTATATATAATTGTCTATAATTAAAATTAGATTAAAAAATTATTCTTTGTTAGTTTGAAAAAAATTAAGCAATATTTTTAAATTATAAGAAAAATAAAAAAATTAAATTCTAATCTTATGACCTTATATATAATTTGATTATATATATATTTATATCTAGAAATAAATTTCTCTTATATTTTTAATAAAATAATTTTATAGTTTCTAATTCTTATTATTAGAAATTTTATTAATGCAAGTAATGCTCGCATTTTTTTAAAAAAAATTACTTTAAATAAAGCTTAAAAAACATATATTTATTCATTTAATATTTTTTATAATTTTATATTAAGATGCTTTCTTTAGTACTTATCCAAAAAAACAAAATACAAATTTACTAAAAAGAATAATTTGTATTTAATTTTAATTTAATAATTCTTTATATTACTAAAAAGTTATGCATTGTTCAAAATTATTAATTTGATATATGCAAATTATAATAAAACATATATACAATATGTAATAAATTAAAATTATACTCTAAATAATTAAAATCAATTTATTTAATGTATTGATTATTTTATAAATATTAAATTTATATATATATTTATAAATAATCTTTAAATTCTTCACTTAATTTTCAATTGAAAACCATCATACTTAATAAAATTATAGCTTGCTCTAAAATAAATGCTTACAATGATTTTATTTGAAAAATTTATGCTAAATAAATAAGGAACATCTAAAATTTGCACTTTTTTAGATTAACATTTAAGCTATATCTCTTAAATTTAACTCAACTTTAGATTTTGAATAATTTGAATAAAGTACATATTTAATGCATTAAATGCTCTAATAATTTTATTTTTAATAAGGATATTTGATAATGCTAGGATTATTTATTTTATATGAAGATAAATATATTTTATGTAATAAAAGCTGTATTAATGAATTTAATAAGTTATTTTGGAGTGATAAAAATATTGATTAAGTTTATATTTTTTTTTAAGTATATCGTAATTCTAGAAAATAGAGAATTTTAACTTTAGGTTATGTTTTTTATATTTCATAGGTGATTTTAGTTTATTTGATTGTTAATTATAATTATATTATGTTTAATAAAAATAAAAGTTTTGAAAAATAATAAGCTGATGTTGATATAAATAAAAATATACTTTCAGATTATATAATTGAAATTTTATAGAAACATTAAAGTTAAATCTTCACTTAATTATGATTAGGAGTAGGAAAATCATGATTATCATAATATTCTTCTTAAATGAGAAGTTAATTAAAACTATTTTTATATATTTTATGATTAATAAATAGATTTAAATAAAAGAAAATGAAGAATAAGAAAATAAAAAGTTGATTTGATTCCATGATATTATTATTAATTAAATTTAAGATTATAATTATTTAGTATAAAATTAAGAATAAAAAGTATAAATAAATAAGAAAAATAATTGGATTAATCATATAAATAAAGTAAAATAAGTATATAAACTGATTTAATTTACAATTAAATAAACCATTTATAAAAATTAATAAATTTTTTATAAAATATAATAAATAACAATATAAATAATGAAAATAATAGCTTGAAATTTTCTTTTTTTTAGAAAAAAATAAAATAAGTTATTATGTTTTTAGAAGTAAAATCAAAAAATATAAAACAATTAAAAGAAAAATAACAAAATATTTTTTTTTTTTATAAATATATATTTTAATTTATATATGAAAAAATAATATTTTTAGTTATTATATAAATATGTTTTTTTTTTTTATTATTATTATTATTTTAATAAATTTCTGCTAATATAACTAAATATCAATTATTAATTTATTTTTTTAATCAATTTTTTAATAAAAAATACTTAATTTCACTTATAGTCGCAACAACTTTTTAATCATCTGGCTTTTTAAGTTTTTCTAAACAATAATAAATATTTTCTTTTAAATCTTTATTCAAATCCAAAACTTAGACAATCCAATTTAATACTCTAATATTTCTTCTCATCATTGTATTTACCATAGAGAATTAATTAATAGTATTTAAAATATTCAATACATATTCGTTTTTTAATATTTTTTTATTTTTTCCAAATAGGAAAATAATTTAAATAATAAACATTCCTACTTTTTCGCTTAAACTAAAATCGATATTATTTAACAAGCCAAAACTACAATCATAAGCAATTAAAAGATAATCATGATTTTCTATTTATTCGTTATTAAATGATGGTTTTTCTAAATTAAACTACTGGCTGCTTATTAATTTAGTTGTTATATTCAAAAAAATATCTACTAAATCTTCATAACATTAATCCTATTGTTTCAATATATAATGTTTGAAAAGTTCCACAGCTATTTTTGTCACATTATAGCTATTAATTTCTTATAAAGTAGAATATTATATTATATATGTAAGTAACTTTAAAGCAGTTCTATTCGAAGTGAATTATTCGATAATTTTATTTATTAACTTATTTGATTTTAAGGCTTGGATATAACTTTTTGAACATTTTTCTTTTTCTACGAATAAATTTAAAAGTTTTAAAGCCATAATTTATACTTGCTATTCTTCAGAATCAAGAAGTTAACCTAATTAAGTACTTACAAAGTTTTTTAAGAAAAAGTTTGAGAGCCTTGTAAAGTGTTGAGAATTTTCTTCTGAAAATAATAAACTTAAAATGTCCACAATTAATTTTAAATAATTAAATTTCATGTTTTAGTCGTTTTATTATTTTAGTTAATCTACTAATTTAGGAACTACTACTTCAGCAAAATATATACTGTAGTTAAGAAGTTGTTTGTTTCCCAATAAGACTTCGTATAAATTTACTAATACAGATTTTACTTCTTAACTTGCATCTTTACCTATATTCAATAAATCAAATATTAATTCTAAATAACTTTATTGGAATAAACTAGTACTTAATTAACTACAATTTGCATATTATAATAATACCTTTTTTATATTAAAAATAAATAAATATTTTTTTTTATATATTTTTTTTTTACAGATAAATATTATAAATTTCCATTTAAAATTGGGACAAATTAGTTTAAATAAAGGTTGCCTTATTAATAATATGTAGATGAGTTATCTGCTAATTCTCCTCTTTATATTCTACAAAGTTCATCAAAAATAATTTTAAGAATATAGGTAATCATTTCTTCAAGCAATTATTTTAAATTACAGAAACATTATTGAACATATTTTTAATTATCTCTACTTATTTTTTCAAAATAATGAAAGAATTTAGTTTAAGCAAGTAAAATCAATGCTTTTTAATTAATTTTAATTATCAAGAAAATACTTAAAATGGCTTTTCCTCTTACAACTAAACTAGGATTATCAAATAAATGAATTATATTTTCTATAAACTCCAAATCATTTAACAAAAACTAAGTTAATTCACTTTCGCTAATAAGTATTTGTAAATTAATTATAGTTAATAATGCTTATTAAACTCTATTCTAGCCATTTAATAATACTTCTTTTAAATAACCATAGGGAGGGTTTTTTTATCCTCCTAAATTTACTAAAATCACATCACTAAGGGAGTTATTTAACATCGCCATGTGCTAAAGGGATACCATTGAACTTATTCTCAAACCATCAATATTAGATGTTAAATATAAAGATATTATAGCTAAACAGGTATCACTGTTTGAAAATTATTGTCCTGTTTCTACACTTTAAGCAGTTATATTTTCGATTGTTTTAATAGTATAATATTTTACGTATTCGTCTTCATTTTCTGTTCGTAAGAGCTTTACCATGAATTGAACTACAAAAGGCTGTATTTACCATACACTATTTGATGGATCTTCATCTATTTAGGTTGCACCATAAAATAAATACTCTCCAAGAGCTGCTATGCATCTTTTTTTTTATTTACACATATATATATATATATATATATATATATATATATATATATATATATATATATTTTAAAAAAAATAAACTAAAGTTTTATTTATTACTTTCGTTTAACTTTTTCGTTTTTTTCATTTTTTAAAACATCAATCAAAATTTAAGGGATACCTATTTTTTTATTTAATTATAAATTTTTTTTATATGTATTAAATAAAAATACCTTATTAGCTCAATTCATTTTCAATAACTGTGGCGTGTCTAATTAAATAACCTAGTATGCTCCCAATTTTAACTTTAGTTTATTATTATTTAACAACTTTAAGCAATTTAAGTAATAAATTCATAAAAGCAGAATTAATTAATCTATTAGCAACATTAGAATTTTAGGTAATACATTCGAAATAGCACAAAATATTATATTTATCATTTGATGAATTTAAAAGTGCATTAAAAATATTTTCAAAATGATTTTCTATTAATTAACTATCAATTCCTTGACAAACTTCTTCTAAATTGAAAGCTTAAAAAGGCAAATGTTCTTTATTATAAAATTATTCGCCTTGTTTTTCAATTTCTTTATTTCCAATAATAGGCTTAACTGAGTTGTCTGAATTATGAGTGAAAAGTTCATTAACAGGTATTATTTATTATTATTGCATTTTTTGATTAGTATTTTAACTATAATTATTATTATTATTATTATTATTATTATTATTATTATATTATTATTATTAATTTAATTACTACTTTATGATTTATTATTATTTTTGTTTCTTGAATCATGATGTATTTAATTATTTTCTACTTATTTTAATGAATTAAAATGTGCATAATTAAATTCCACATTATTTTTTTATTCGTCAATTAAATCTTATTAATACTAAGAATTGTTATTATTATTTTAATCTATTGCATATTCTTCTTATCCTTCTTCGTCATCTGCTGCACCCATATTTATTACTTATGCCATACTATTTAATTCTATATCATTATTCTATTATTAATTCGAATATTCATTTATTTCTTTTTGTAAATTTTTTTAGACATTTAAACTTAGTCTTAAAAGATTCACATTATTATTAAGTGTATTTATTATATTATTATTATTGCTGTTTATGTTAGAATTACTTTATATTTTCGAAGTATTTTACTAGACAATATTTTAATTTAATTGATATCCTATTTAATTCGCATTATTAAATTTAGATTAAAAAAGCCATCTTTCAAAATGAGGTTATGAGGGTATTTCTGATTAAGGAAATTTATGGAAATCCTTCCAAAAAGGATGTACTAATATTTAATCCCAAGTTATTCTTTTTGAAGGATTTTTTTGCAATAACTTATCTAATAAATCATTAAACTCATTAGAAAAATTAGCTATTCTTACTATTTCTTTATTCAATATTTAACCTACTAAATCTTGGAAACTTTTTGACACAAAAGGTGGTTTTCCACTTGCTAATTCATACATAACACACCCTAAAGCCCAAAAATCACTTTAAAATGAACATACTCCATCGTCTTGGAATAATTCTGGTGCCATATAACATGGAGTACCTTTTTTAGCGGATTCTTTAGTCTATTTATTTATTAATTTTTTAGTTTAAAAAAATATTTTTACATCATCTACCGCCTATATCATATCAACTATTCTTCTTGATAGACCAAAGTCACATATCTTTAATTATCCATATTCGTTTAATAAAACATTAGATGTTTCAAATCACAATATATTATTCCTTTAGAATGCAGATATTATAAGGCTTATTTTTTTTATAATATAAAAAAAGAAAAAAAATGAAAATTAATTTTTATACCTGCTGTTAAATCTCTTGCTAAATTTTTTATTAATTACTCTGGTAATTTTTTATCTTATTCAATTAATGTTAATAAATCTCCCCCTGAACAATATTCAAATATAATCCATAAGTGATTTCGAGTTTCATACCAATTATAATATTTCATTATATTTTGATGGTTTAAACAATGAAATATTTTTACTTCATTTAGAACCTTTATAATTTTATTTTTAAAATAAAATTTATATTGAATTAATATATTTTCAAAATTTTAATGTATAAGTTTCAAATATTGTTTATTTTTGTATTATATTTAATTTTTTACCTTATTTCGGCGACATTTTTTTAATGATTTAACCGCCATATATTCTATTGATCTTTTTTTTCGACCTTTATATACTACTGAATATTTGCCTCTTCCAATTTCCTCGTAAATATGATAATTATTCATATTTTAAAAATATGTATTTTTTTTTTATTTTTTTTTTTTAAAAAAAAAAAAAAAAAAAAAAAAATTAAGAAATATATTTTTTGAGTTTTTATTTTAATCTTTTTAAAATCTATAAAATAATTTGATTATAAACAGAAAATATATTTAAAATATTGAAACTATAAAAAATAGTATTAAATAATATTTTATTCTAATCAATAATTATTTAAAACACAAAAACAAATTTCAAAAACTTTTTTACAAAAATAATTATATTATAGTATTAACTTATAATAATGAATAATTTTAATATTATTTTTTTTAAAAAAAATAAAAATTTACATAATATATTTTTTTTTAATTCAACTTTAAATAATTTATATTATAAAAATTAAAAATATAAAATTCAATTTTCAATAGAGTAAATAAAAACTATATAAAATTATATTGAAAAATAAATATTTTTAAAATTAAATCTAATATTTATTTTTTTTAACAAAAATAATTTCAAAGTTTTTTTATTAACATTTATACATGTATTAATTTTTTTATTAGAAAATTAATTATCGTATAGTAAAATAAATGTATTTTTAAAAACAAATGATATTTTTTTTAACATTTCTGTGTTTAATTATATATTTAAGTTCATTTTTGCCCTTAATTTTTTATCTGTATTAAAGTAATTTTTCATATATTCTAATAATTATTATTACTTCTAATTACTATTGTTTAATTTTAATGTTTTACATTTTATAATTAGGATTAAACAAAAGAAAATTTTCTTTAAATAATATTTAGAATTCTAATTATATAATTATTATAAAGTAAAAATTTTTATTAAATATATTATAAATAAACATAAAAATTGATTTAATATTTATAATTTGTTTCATTTTTATTTTGTGTTGCTTAAATCCCTTAATTATGTTTTTATTTTAGAAACTTATTTTTCAACTAAATCTAATTATTTATTAAGAAACTTTTACTTTTAAATATTTTCAATACTATTAATTTTTATATTTTCAACTTTTTAAATTTCGCTTAAAATCTATTAAATAATAATATTTAATGAAAATTTAATTTTAATGTAATTATACTCTTTGCTTTTGTAAACTTAATTATATAATTTCTTTTTCAAGGCTTTTGTATTATTTTCTGTTAGTACTAATTTCATCATCCAAATATAAACAATTTGTTTCTAAAGATTATATTTTTTATTAAGAATTTTTAATATCATATTATTGTTCATCTTTTCCCCATTAAAAAAAATTGCTTTATGTCAAAGTATTTTTATTTTTTATTTATTTAAGGGCAATTTTGTTTTATTAATTAATTATTTAGGTTTTTTTAAACTAATCACTAACATTTAGAATATTTTTATCAAATTAATTATGATTAATAAAATTATAATAATCTAATAAATTATTATTGTCTTTATATTAAAAATTTTATTATTGATTTTTATTATAAATATTATCCTTAAATTTAAATTATATTTTAAAAAATTGATAATTTTTAAATATTTAAAAAATTACTTATTATATTTAATTTTCTTAATTTAAAATTTCAGTATTTTAATAGTTATAAGAATATTAGTCTATTTATTAAATAAAACGATTTTCTCTTTATAAATTAAGTTAATTAATTTTTTTTAAATTTTGAATTTCTTTTTAAAGAACTTCTTTTTCATAAATAAATTTATTTTCGTTTAATTTTAATTTTTATATTTCTTATTGTTAATTTTAGTTATTTATTTTCAATTTAGAATATATATCGTTTAAATTCTATATTTATATCAATAATGATTATTCTAAAACAATCTTATTTTCTAATTAGAATTTATCATCTTTATTAATTAATAGTAAATCTTAATATTCATTTCTAATTAAAAAAATAAATATATATATATATATATATATATATATTTATATAATTATTATTTACTTTAATTTTTCATATTTTTATTTTAGTTTTTCAAATTAATTTTATTGATTCTAAAAATATTCATATTTTTTCTAAAATAATCTTTTTTTTTCACTTTTTTTTATATTTATTTTTTTATCATATGTTTTTAAAATATATATACTTTATTTCATCATTTGTTTCATCTAATTAGAATTTTATATCTCTTACATCTACTTCTAATTTGGTTTTCTAAACAAATTCATGATTTACTTTTTATTTGTATTTATTATTTTCGATTAGAAGCATATCGTTATTCAATTGAAGTTTATATACCTAATAAATTTATAAATAATTTTTTTCGTATATTAACTTTTATTACTTTTTCTTAAAGTTATTAAATTTTATCTTGTTATAATAAAAATTCTTTTTTGTTTTTATACATTTCATTTAAATTTTCTTATTTTTATGACTCAATTTTCTATTTCATTTAATTTATTTGATTTTAATATTTTTACATTATTTATTGAAATTAACCTTTATTATTATTAATATAAAAATTATAGAAATATTAAAATAATTGATTTGATAATAATTTTAACTAAACCTTTATTCAATATAATATCATTATTTTATTTAAAATTCAATTTTTATTATTTTTATTTTATATCACTAGTATATTTTTTATTATTTTTTTCATAATTTTTATTGAAATCGAATTTTTAATTTCTTTTATATTATTCAATTATAAAATATTATATTATTAATAAATATTTTTACTAATAATGTTATGTATCAAGATAATGTTTATCGTTATATGGCGAATTATATGTTTATAAATAATTTGCATTATTAGATCCACTAAAAAATTAATCTTAAATTTTTGAATTGGGATAATTTTATATATTATCAATAGATGAATTATTATCATTTTATTAATTTTAAATAAAATAACATTTTAAATTTGAATTATCTGAATTAGATAATGTATTTTATTTTTTTAAAGATTATTATTAAATAAATCTTTAAAATGATTTTGTATTTTATATTTGATCAAAGTCAATATTTTAAGCAATCTATTAAGCTTTAAAAATAAATTTTATAAAATAAAAAATTATATATATATATATATATATATATATATATATTTTTAAATTTATATATTTATAATTTTATATATTTTTATATTTATTTAATAATTATATATATTTTATTAATATATTTGTTTATATAACTCAAAGAATCAGAATTCATTTTAATATTTATTTAACAGTTTTCTTTTAAGATTTAATATTTTAATTTTTGAGTTAATAAAATAAAAATAATTTAATTTAAAATATATTGTTTAAAAATATATAGAATATTAATTTAATAAAAATATTTTTATTTAACAAATTATTATTATTTTAAAAAAATATTATTAAATTCATAATGTTTATGTCTTTTTTTATTATATTATTTATAAATAAATATTAATTTTCTTGTATTTTTTTTTAATTTATATTTTCAGATATAAAATATATGTTATTAATTGTTTTTTAAAATAATTTTTTTATAATTATTTATATTTTTTATTGTTAAAGATTTATAATATTTAAAATATCAAAATGCTATTCTAAAATATAATCAACTTAAATATTTTATTACATTAACTTATTTATTATATTTTTTTTTTTAATATTATAATTTAAAATTATTTTTAATATAAAAATAAAACTAATTATTTTATTTTTTTATATAAAAAATAAAAAAATATATATATTAAAAAAAAAAAACTATATATCTAAATATGTATTTATGTTAAATATAAATAAATAAAAAAAAAAAATCAAATAGATGTAAAAGCCTTAGTAAAGGCAGGTAAAATAGTTCTTCTTCCATGCCATATACCTCTGGGAACTAAATTCCAATAAGCCCAAGGGAAGAAATCTTTTTTTAATTTATAGAAAAATTATGAAGGTATATCTTATCTTGCCATAAATGTTTCACAAGCAACATACCCATATTTATATTCAATAAGCATAAGTTTTCCATCTCCAACAAAAATCGGACAACTAGTATATCCATCATAACTGCTAGGTAAATCTATATGTCCTTTTCCACTCAAAACATGATGTAAATTACTTACTACCACAGGAGTTTAGCTAAGAATAGCAGGCATAGTTTTCGATGTAGGAAGATTTGCACAATCACCTTTAAAATTAAAAAATATATATACATGTTTTTTTAAAAATAAACACCTATTCCCCATATATTTTAGTATTTTTTATGTCTCAAAGTATGCATATCAACATCTAAATATCCTTATTCATCGGTAATATTAGGAGAGTCATTTAAAAATTATGGTAATTTGGGATAAGGTACAATATGAATAAGATCAAATTTGACTTCTTCTAGTTCTTAAGTTTTAAGGTTTTAAAAAATAGCAGTTCTTTTATCTTTAATAACTTCTACTAAATTTGAGTTTTTATGAATATTAATATTTTTTTATTTTTAGATTGTTTCAAGTGCAGCACTATATTTAGGTTATGGGAATTCATAATCAACTGCTTTTCTCATTTCTATAACAGTGTTGTTTCTTATTCCTTTCTTTACAAATCTGCCTTCGGCTAAATAAATTATTTTTTAAGGAACCCCTGATTATTCCTGTGAACGAGGTGGTTCGGTAAATATAGCTTTTCCACCTCCAAAATCAGAACATAATTCATTAAATTTTTGTACGTAATTATAATCATATATTGAACCTGCGGGAAATTCTGGGTCATCTAAAGCTTCTCTAGCACCTTTTTTTTTTCTTTTTTTTATATTTATTTTTTAAAAAAACCTTTTATTTTATCAAAATCGTTTTGCAAACCAGAAGTTATAATTAAATGTTCATATGAATATTCAGTACCGTCTTCAGCAATTAATAAATTCTAGTCAGGTAATACTTTTACTATAGCCAGGTTAATAAAATTAATCCATTTATTGTATAAATCTTCATTTTTTCTGACTGTGTCTTTTATGTTGTAAATTCCTCCACCAACCATTGTCCAGGCGGGCTTGTAATAATGGAGTTTAGAAGAATCAAAAACTCTAATTTAATGAGGAATAATACCTGGTTCTTTAACTATTTAGGAAACAAAATTTAAACTGGCACATCCACCTCCTATTACTGCAATTTTAGAATGGATGGGAGATTTCTTTGAGAAATTCTTCGATATTATTTAAGAAAGCATTTTATTATTATTATTGTATTTATCAAAAATCTATATATCGTTTATATAATTTTTTTTTTTCCTTTTAATAAATACGTATTATTGAAAAAAAATAAAAATATTTTAATTTTTTATTTAAAAATAAAAAAATTATAAAATAATATTTTGTTCTTATTGAATTATAATTTAGAAAGTCAAAATTAAAAAAAATAGTACAATTAGATACTTTTTTATTAATTAACAAAAAAAATATGTTTAGAAATTTATTTAAAATATAAAAACTAACCTAAGTAATATCTAAAAGACACTTACTTATTTCCTCTTTACTTTCCACGTCATTATATTTGAACTATTAAAATTTTCAAAATGTCTATTCCTTGGAACGAAAAGAGCCTGAGAAGCCTAAAAAAGTGGATTATTTATAAACGCCAAACAAGAAAAATAAAATCGAGTTTTTTTGTTTAAAAAAATACCATGAAGGTATAAATGAAGGGAAAAATATATTAATATTCATATCTACAAACTGGAATTAAAAATTTACAAATGAAGTTTTGGCTTATTTAGAAAATTTGTAAGAATATCAATAAATGACTGGCGGAAAGGAAATTTTAATAATGCATTTTGACGAAAATAATAGTGAAAATAAAGAAGAAGAATTAAAATTTATTAAGAAATATAATACTACTTAGTATGATATTTTCCTTATATAGAATAACTATTAGGAAAGTTTTACGGCTTTTTCATTCGAAGATTATATGTATGAAAAAAGCACACTTTAAGCATATTTCTAGCCCATTTTTTCCCTTTAGAAGAAAGATTTGGATAAATTTTTTAATTCTTTGTAATATTTTTCGAATGAAAATACTTTGATTTTAGCCTATTGTGATAAAGAAGATTCTAGTTATAAATAAACTGAAAAAAAATTAAAGAACTTGTCCTTAAATAATAAATATGCGAGTAATTCAAAGGTTGCTTTTTTATTAATTGATGATAAAGAAGTGGCTAAAGAGTTAAATATTTCATAAAAAAATGGAGATTTGCACCTTTTTATTAAATAGACAATATTCACGTAAATAGAGCCTTCTTTATAGTTAAAAGAATAAAAATTTTGTTGCTAAAAATTTGCGAATTTAAAGGATAATAATATATCTACAATAATAAAAAATGCCACGAACACATATAATAAAATCAACATTTTTGGATCATAGTCTTTTTATTTAGAAAAGGAATTCGATTTAGTAATTAATGTAGACAAAAATAAAGTAGATAAATAAACACATGGAGAGTTAGTAAAATTAGCTTAAAATTTGTACAAATCTATGCCTGAATAATTATGGGAGAAAATTTCTTTTAACTATTCAAAAGCTCATGACAGAGAAAATAATACAGCGTATAAAATATAGCTTTAAAGCGCTAAGAAAAGGGAAAAGCATCTACAGTTATACTACATTAATTCGAAAAAAGAACTCTAAGAAAGTAATATTTCAAGAGAAGAATTTCTAAAGCCACATTCTTATATTTTCACTTATGATGGGCCTTCTTTATAAATGAAAGATGTACTTGATTGGATTTAAAAAGTTGTCGAAGAAAAAGATGATGTAAAAGAAACATTTGCTTCATAAAGAGTACCTAAATATAGAAAATATTCAAGGAAAATTGTCGGAAATACTTTTGAAAAAGAAATCAAGAATAATTTGAAAAATTAAGCGTTATTTTTTTATGCGAATAATTGTTCAGCTTGTGCTTCTTACGGACCTTTGTATGAAGAATTGGGATTATAGTATTTAACTAATAAGGATTCTTTTTAAAAAAGTGAGTATGTTGAGTTTAATAGGATTAATCATATTAAAAATAATTTAAGTAGTTGCCCTTATTATGCTAATTCGCCTGTTTTTGCATTCTTTAAGGGATAATGTAAGGATATTCCATATATTTATAGATCTAATGTAGCTTACAAAGGATTTATAAATGACTTTATTGAAATCTCGGCTAAATTCTAAATTGTTGATGAAAATTTAGTTAGTAAATAAGTTTAGAATGCTAAAAAAGTTAATCATTAAAGTTTGATTAATTGAGAATATTTTTTATTTAATATTAGAATTATTTTATATATATATATATTAGTCAGTTTTTATTTTTTATTGATTGTATTTAAAAAAAATTAAAATAAGAATAATTTTTTATAAATATATAATACTTAAGGTTTTTATTATATTTCTAAACTTTAAAATTTAAATTTTTGTTATATATAAATTAAATAATCTTTTTATAAAATTAATTTATACAACAAAATTTTTTTAAAAAAATATTTATATACATAATACTTCGTTTTTAAATATAAAATAAATGAAAATTGTAATTTTTTTAATTTTGATTTCGACTTTAAAAGCACAGTTTGTAGATATAATATATAAACGATATAAAATTAAATACATTTTTATGTTCATTATAAAAAAATATAATTAGAAAACCCTATGATTCATAATGTGATATTGATTTAGATGGAAGTATATGTTTATTTGATGGTATTTTAATTCGAATTTAGTTTATTTTCTAATAATATTAATTTTTTAATATAAAGGTGATAAAATATTAGTACCTCCAGCTAAAATGGAAGGATTAATAGGTTATTACTCATTTGATGATAAAAATGTATAATTAATCAATTAATTTAATTTTTAAAAAATAAAATAATAGAATTTAGATATATCTGGCAATTCTAATCATCCAAATGAAGGTTCTGATATATAAAAAGGATAACCTTGGGGAGGTTAAGGGAATAGTTTATTTTTTAATGGAAAAAATTACTTATCTATAAATATACCTTAAGAATAATTAAAATCTTCTTCATATACAATTTAATTTTACTATTTTCCTGTTGAAGAAAAACAATGTTTTTTTAATCAATTTATTTTTTTATAAAAATAAAAAAAAGTAAAAGGAAAAAAAGAATGCCCTATAATATAAAAAGGATTTGATAATCTTATTGAAGGAAAATTCGAAAGACAACCAGGTATATATTTTAATAAAGAAAAAAGGAGTATAAAAATTTTCATATCCACACTCGATACAAATGAATTTTTGGAAGTATTAAAATAAAATAATTTTAATATAATATATAAAGGGGAATATTTTGGAATCAAACGCAAGATTATCTTATAATAAATGGGCTCATATTAGTTTATCAAAAAGCAGTTAGAAAATAAAACTTTATATAAATGGTATTCTCGATTAAGTAGCTGTTCTGTAAAGCTTTGATGTAGAAAACGACTCACCATTTTATATAGGAAATACTCCATGGTTTTCAGATGATTGTATTCTAAATGCATTTGTAGACGAATTGAAAATATATAATTATGAAATTAAAAGTTATTAAGTATAGGCTGAAGCTTCTATGTTTTTGGGAGGAATAGAGCCTTCTTTTTTGCATTTAGGGTGTATTAATTGTGAATTGGAAACTGCTAAGTAATCATGTATTTAAGGTTATCATTTATGTACTTCTTTAGAAATTTATTCTGGTGCTTATAATGTGGCAAGAATTATGGGATGGATTGAACATAATAATAATATTTGGAGTTATAATTAGTTATTTTAAATTGATAATTAAGAAGATTCGGGTTCTGCAAACTCTGGAATTGGTATTTGTTGTGTTGATCTTTAGGATATTATGTAGTCTTGAAAAAAATGTTGTTAAATTTATTAAATAATATTGATAAAAATGATAAATATTTGCTATTATTCGTTATTTTAATATATTTTTTTTTTCATTATTTAAATTTATAAAATTATATAGTATTTTTTGGTTAGTATCAAGATTAATTTGATATATTTTTTTATTAAAATAATAAATATATTATTTAATAAATTTATGAAATGACGATTTTAAAAAAAAAAAAATTTTTGTTACTTTAAATGGATTTTATATATTTTTTCTTCAATCTTATAATTAATCCATCATATCTAATAAATCTTGTCCATTTTATTCTTCTTCTTAATTTTATTCATCCTGATTAATATCTATTTTTATTTTTTTTCCATTATAAAATTTAATTTAATTCAATGTTAAAAAAAAAAAAACCTAAATTTCCAAATAAATCCTGAATATTTTTTTATATGAGATTTTAATCTCTTTTTTAATCTATAGTATATAAATATATATTAAATAAAAAATAATATTATAATTTTATAAAAATAATATACCAATAATAATTAAATCACTTAAGAAATTATTATCTTATTAATCTATAATCTAAGTTTAAGTATTTTGATTAATATTAAATTTATTTTAATTAAAAATATTAATTTAAAAATTATCATGATCTTCTTTTTTGTTTCCTTTTATCATATTAGTTAAATTATCGAAATTTTATTTTGCTTAAGATGTATTTAATTTTAATTAAGAAATCATTTATTCATCATTTGCATTTCCACATTTAACAACATTATTAAAGTCTATATTTTTTTAATTTTCTCCTTATATTTAACTATAATCTTTTTACTTCCTTCCTGATACATATATATTTTATCCCCATTCACTTATTACATTAATAAAGCTTTTATTTTAACCATTTTATACAAAAAATTTAGTATTTTCTAAATTTTTGAATAACTTTAAATTCAAAACTCCCTAAGAATCGTATATACATACTTATCCAGGAATTCCTACATAAGGTCCTGCCGGCTATCCATTATAGATTCTAAATTCACCAGTATCAGCTTAAATTTTTTCTTCTAAAAATACAAAGACTCTTTATTTAAAATCTTACACGAACTTTAATATTTCTTATTTTATAAGAAAATAATCATAACAACTCATTTTGGCATATTATTACTCGAATTTTTTCTTAATTTACATCATAGCTTCTATTCCAGGACCATGATTTAGAATATCGACAATTCCATTAAAATGATTCATGGTAATATCATAAAATTCAGAAGGCTATGTAGCATTTATTATTTATAGTTTAAAACCCATTAAGACTAAATCTGTTAATTTTTGCATTGAACTTTAGTTTAGTTTCATTATAGAACAATGAACTATTTTTTCAATTAAATTTCGGAAAAATTGCATTGTGATAGTCTTTTAACCTTTAAAAAGTTAGGTCATTAATTATCCGGAAAATAAACATTTTATTATATCTGTTAATACTTGAACACCTTTCTGATTATTTATTTGTTGGGCTTGTAAACGTTGATTTAATATATAAACCATTTCTCCACCAGTATTTATTAATATTATTGGATTTGCCAAAAAACAACCTAATTCCATTTTTTGTTTTTTAATTATAAAAATATATTTTCTTTTAGATAATTTTTTTCAATGTAAATTATTTATTTATATTTATATTTATATTTATATTTATTTATTTTTTTAAAAAAATAACTTATTTCGATTTAATAACAAAAATAAAAAATATAATAATAAAGTATGTCATAAATAGAAGAAAAACCATTTACATTTGTAAATTAGGAAGGATAACTAACAGATTACATTAACTTCACAGGTTATGCAAGAGCAGAATTCCCAAATGGAGATATTTATGAAGGATAATATGAAAACGGAGTAAAATTTGGAAATGGCACATATTATCACATATCCAGAAAAGAAAATGTTCCAAATGATGTATATAAAGGCGAATTCCAAAATAATAAAAAAGATGGAATTGGAATATTGACAGTTAATTTACCCTAAGAATAAAAAGAGGAATATTATGGTATAATAAAATATATTTATTTTTAAATATAATTTCAAAAAATAAAAATAAAGGTGAGTGGAAAAATGATAAAATGCACGGAGAAGGAAGATATGTTTATCAAAATGGAGATATTTATAGTGGGTAATGGTAAAACGGGAAAAACATGGAACTGGAATATATTTGTTTTTTAAAACTTAAATGAGAGTATTTATTTATTTATTAACGATTATTTTTTTTTAATTAAAATTTTCTATTTAAAATTACTAAATTTAGCTTAAAGGGGTATGGCATGAAAATAAATTTTTAGAAGGAGAATGGATTTATCCAAATGGAAATGTATATGAAGGATAATTTGAATATAATATGCCTGTTGGAGAAGGTTCTGTTTATTTTAATTTAATTTATATTTTATATTCTTAATATATACTGATTTTATATAAAATTACATTATGGTTGTATAGAAATTATTCTATAGGCAGCTAATAAAAATTTTTAATTGCTTGGTAAATAATAAACTATTTTATTTAAGCTGTCTATAGAATAATTTATAGACAACTACGAATTTAAAATGAAAATTCTATAAAAAACTAATATATACATAATAGGACATTGGAAATTATAAAATGGTAATATTGTTGAAGGAAAATATATTTAGACTAAAGTTCCTCCAAAAGATGAAGTATACATAATATAATTTAATTAAAATTTTAAATAATTAAAAAAGAAAAATAAAAAAGATATTACAATAGATTTAAAGTGGCTATAAAAATGAAATTAGAATAATTTTATTTTTATAATTTAATAAATAAAATAAATGCATATTCATGTGGTATTAAATAAATTAAAAACATCTCCTTTTTTTATTATTTAATAATTATATCGGAACATTATAAAAATAGTTATATTTATTATCATTCATAATGATAATAATATTAAAAAAAAAAATTAATATTAAATTTCATTTTTTTTAATTTTAGATATTTATTATATAATTTACGAAAAAAATCTATAATAAAAATATTTAATTTTTTTAATATAAATTTATATCATATATGAATAAAATATTTAAATTTATAAAATAATATATTTAATATACATAGAATAAAATATATATATATATATTTTGCAAATATATTAAATATATATTACTTAAATAAATAATTAATAAGAAAATTTATATTTGCGAACTTAATTATAATATTTTGTAATAAATCTATTTAATTTATGTAGTAAATCAATTAAAGAAACTTTTAAAAAGATAATAATAAGGTTTATGAATTTTAAATAGATGATAATTATGAAAAATAATTAAAATAAGTAATTAGCGAAGATATAAGTGCAGTTGTAATGTTAAATAATTTAAAAGAAATATTAATTGAATCAAAAAATAAGAATAAGGTTCTAGGGCTTAATATTTTAGAAAATTTTTTAATAATTTAGCTACTTTAAGAATTATAAGTTTTATTTTGCTTATAATATTAGGTTTTTTCGAAAAACCATTATGGTGTACAAATTAATACTCAGTATATCATATTTTTCATATTTTTTATTTTTTTAAAAAAAAATTATTGCTTAACAGGATTATTGTAGATTATCACCTGACAAAAAAACTAAAATACCTACTTCAAATATATATTATATAGAAAAAGAAATATATTATCCAACACAAATGATTTTAATAATTTTTTTGACTCTAAATAAATTCTTAAAATAAAAATTTTTAAAAGACAGATAAACACATAAAAAAAAAAATTAGCTTTAAATATTATTACTATGTTAATTTTTACTTAATCTTCAATAATTCTTATTTTTGATTAATTTTATTTTAATATAACTCAATTTCTGTTACCTGTATATTTTGTCTTATATAAGTAAATATATATATATATAAATTAAAAATATAAGTACATAAAAATATATAAAAGTCGAGTTTTAAGAAGAAGTCTAGCAATGCATTTATATGTAGTAAAGCAAGGTTTACCATTGCTTTCAATTTTAGGGATTAATATACTTCTTTTTGCTGGTTTAGGAAAAGTTTTATTTTATGATTAAAAATCTTCTGAACATTATTTTACTGATTATTGGGAATCTTGCTATAAATTAACTATATTATAAACAACGAGTAATTTTCCAGATGTTATGATGCCTTATTATAATGATTGTAGGTGGGCGCCTATTTATTTCATAATATTTTTATTAGTAAATTATATTTTACTATTAAATATGGTATTAGGAGTATTTTATACATGTTATAAAAATGAAATGTAGAATTAAATAAATAATTTTTTCGTTGAAAACAGAAATGATATAAAAAATTATTTAGATAACTATTTGTAAAGCTAAGATATTAATGATTCGTAAAGTTTAGATTTTCTAATGTAATATATATATATATATATATATATATATATATATATATATATATATATATATATATATATTTATTTATTTTACATTTATTCATATTTAATAGTGATATAAAATAAAATACATAAGATTAATAAGAAAAATAAGTTTTGATATAGAATTTTTATATTTTCGGATTTAAATAAACTTTTATAATGGGATCGTTAAGTCTTGCAAATTTTATTTATATAATTAATTAATCTGATAATATTTATAAATTTGAAAATATTAAAATTTGGTGTATTATTAATTTAGTGTTTAATTCTTTTTTTTTAATTGATAATATAATTAAAATTTATTATGATAAATAGTTTATAATTAAAAATAAATATTATTTTTATGAAATTATAAATGTTTTTGCTGTAAAAATTATGTTAATTTTAATTTTTTGTGATGTTACTTAAAACGTAGCATAAATATGCATCATTTTAATATCAACTAGAGTTATTAGAATGTTATATTTTGTTTTTAGTTTCTTATAATTTAATATTATATTAAATTCACTTTCTGGATTTTTACCTATTATTATGGATTTATTTGGTGTTTTGTTAATAATGTTTTATATGTTTTCAGCTTTTGGTAATACTAATTTTAATTATTAAATTTTTTTTATATAATATTTTTTTTTAAAATAAAAAAAAGGTTAGCATATTTTCGGAGGAAAAATGACTTATAATTATGAAGAGTAAATAAATTCTTCTTTATATACAACTCATTATGTATTAAATAATTTTAATGATTTAATATCTTCGTTTATATTATTATTTTAACTTTTAATAGTTAATAATTGGATGTTAAATGTAAAAAAATAATAATAAAAATAAAAAAAAAAAAAGGTATAAGCCCATGAAATAATATCTGAAACTAAATTAGTAAGAATATTTTTTATTTTTTGGTATATTGTATCTGTTATTATTTGTATGAATTTAATGGTTGCGTTTATTCTAGATCATTTAATATCAAAATGGAATTTTTATAATAATTAAAGAGAATAAATGGTTAAATAAAAAAATAATTATTAATCTCAAGATATTATTTCTTAAACAGAATAAAATTAAACAAGAAAATTTAGTTAATAAGCGGCTTTTATAATAAATCAAATGCAAAAAAAAAAGAGTTTTAAACTTTTAATAAACAGATTACTTAAAATGATACATCTGAATAAATTAAAAATATATATTAAAATAGAAACAATTATGAGAGTGAAATTTAATAAAAAGAATAAATATATTAATATAATTCTATAAATGGGCCAATTTGATTTTTTTTATTAAAAAATATAAATAACAAATTATTTTTAATTATACATATATATATATAAATAAATATATATACATATTTATATATAGATAAATATTTATAAATATATATATATATATATTTATAATATTATAATATTATATATATATATTAATCTATTAAATTAATTTTATTATTAATTTTATTTTTTTTTTTTCTTAGATTTAATTTTTAGTT